TAATAATAATAATAATAATAATAATAATAATAATAATAATAATAATAATAATAATAATAATAATAATAATCTGTTCCATAAACTAATTGATAGCTGATAGTTTATTAGTGGATTTTAAGCTTGTAGTTGATAATTTATGGTTTGTGACTGAAAAATTAGCTAATGTGATAAAAGTGTTTGGTAAAATTAGCTAATAGGCAAGTGAAATAAAAATTTCAACTAGGTTATTTGAAAAGCTACCCAAAGACGCTTATAGATAAACTCGAGCTTCTTAGAAATGTTCGTTCTACCAAACCAAACTTATTATATACATAAAACATATAAGCTAATCAAATAAGATATAAACTAGTTTATGTTGTTTACGAAACACACTTTTCCTCTTATGATCACTCATCCTTATAGAATGAAAAGGGAAATATTTTGATGTAAAGCTCTCTAAATATATTGGTAGAGTCCGAGTGATAGCACTCAAATTGCATTGTTTGAGATTTCTAAAAACCTTCTAAAATTTTTAAAAAAAATTGTATATTCAATTTAGACTTTTAAAAGTTCCAATGTAATCAATGTATTTGAGATTTAAAAGTCTTACAAAATGAGGTATATAATTTATTTGATACTCAGATTAGTGAGCATGATTGGATATAAATCCAACCCAAAAAATCCAATCATTTTTAACTCAATCACTTTTTTTAACTCTTAACTCAATCTCACTATCATCAATATTATCAATATAATTAAATAATATCAATCAATCATTCTTATACACAACATCAACCTTAATTCACTATTCATCAACTCACATAATTTTAATTAACCATCACATCACATCTTCTCTCTCCTACTTTTACATCAATTTAATTTTAATCATTTTATTTTAAATATTATTTTAATATACCCACTAACAACTAATCATACCAACTTTTTCAAATTTAACCAACCCTAACTAAAAATCCAATCAAAACAAAAACTTTTTATATCCAATCATAAGAATATTTAAGATTTGCCTAATCCTTATGCATGAGGCCTTCAAAAGAAAAAACCATCGTAAATTTAACGTGTTTGTCAATTTTCCCAAAATCAAACGTTTGTTTTTCTCATCTATTTTTAATAGATACTAATATATGTATAATTTAATGTATAATTTATTGGTAAAGCTCAATAAGTTCGCACTAGGGCTTGCGAGTTGCTTGTGTGTAGATAAATTGGTCCATTCTTGTGCAGAGTCTCCATTTATCTCCAGATTTGTTGCACAATCTCTCTAGCTCCAAGGTTCACTCGCTGGCCTTTCTAACTGTAATGACTCTTACATTTGATGTAGCTGAACTTGTTTTTGTTCGCAATTCCTTTTACCTTTTTCACCTTATGAAAACTTGTGTAATTTTGAGAAAATGTACTTCATGAGATAGAAATGGTAAAATTATGTGTTTTGATTTGAAACTGGGAAGTAATACCGTAAATATGTGTAACATTCTTTCTCATTTGGTTCATAACTTCATCTTTTTTTTNTAGACTTTTCTGTTTGTGAGTTTGTAAATTGACTTTTCAAATGCTTAGTTTGTACTACATTTGATGAATGTTTATGTGCATCTTCTCTAGAATTCAGATCTCATGAAAAGGAATTATTTTTATTTTAATAAAGCTACATCTTTTTAACACTGATCACATTCGCCTTTGTTTTTTCTTGTCATGTGAGCTGGCTTATCTATCGCATTTGATCTTTCACAGTTTATTACAGTCCATCAACGAATATAATATCCGGTGAACACATAATGTCTAGGTATGAAATTCTAAACTTCCTTACACGATATGTATTTTACTTCCATATGTTGTTCTGTTTATATGTTTCCATCCCATTAAATTTGTGGCCCCCTGCAAATTGAAATCCAAGAAATAAAAGTATGACCTGCCCATTAAAATCTTGAAAGCTTTTCTGATGAGAATAGAAGAGCGTAAAAAATTGAGCCCACACAACATTTTACATTACATCACTTCTCAGTGAAGACCTGTTGTTGTGGAGACATCTGCTCCAGCTCCCGTACTCAGTGAGCCTATGGATATAATAAGTGACTTGCAACTTGTGCTGAAAAAGTCGTTTTCTCATGGAGGTCTTATTCGTGGCCTTCATGAGAGTGCTAAAATAATCGAGAAGCATGTTGCTCAGCTCTGTGTATTGGCCGAGGATTGTGACCAGCCGGATTGCGTAAAATCGGCCACAATCCTCTCTCGCAGAGTTGGTCCCACAACTAATAATGATAAGACACCAATAGCTGCAGAAGATGCCATTGACATGTGTGTAGTATTCTCATTAAAATCTGTTAATGGTTTGTCGGGCATTAACTTTGGAAGTAAGTTAATTAAGAATCTTGAGGCTCATAACAAAACACTCTATTTAACTAGTAATTTAGTAAAAGGTAATTGAAAAGTGTTTTCTTGAAGTTTGTAGTGCAACGGTGAGTTAGGTTTTACCTTTCAGGTGATTAGTATTTCTATGGATGAAAAATATAGATAATAAGTGATTAAAACTGGTAGAGAATAATTAATTTATAGTGTATAAATGGTTACAACTTGGTAGAATTATGACTGAACAACACCATATAAATGGAAATTGAAACAGATGAACTATTAGTTACACAAATAATATTGTCTCCTTGTTCTAACCATCGTGGTGTCATAAAAAATGTTTGTGTATTTTTTATGCATTGAATCATCACTTAATTAACTGCTAAATTGCCATCGTATTTGAAAGCATATGGAATGTATCAACTTGAATCGGCCATGACCTAGGACTAGACCACCCATATTCGAGCAATGGTTCAGTTGTAGAAGTATGAAATTGTAAAATGGTTTGAATTGTTTTCTTGGTTCTGTAATTCTTTAATCAATTTAATATTACATACATCGATCTGCTGTGGATGAATTGTGATTTGATAATAGCAATCGGGCATTTGCAGATAATTATATTTGTTTTTGCGAACAGTGGTCTTTGCGTCTCTCACCAGTAGAAGAACTATCTGCGTAAGATTTGACATGGTGAGAAACTCGGTATTTCTCATTTGTGAGTTTTATCTTGATTGGTTTAGAAATTAATCATTATTGTCAAATTATATTGAGGCTTGAGTCCTTTACGAATTTATTCTTTTGAAATGCAACATAAACATCAAGTTAGGTTCTTTTTTGTTTTTTTTCCTTCCATTCTTTTAAATTTTTGATGGTTGGTTTCTGGAGTAATTTAGTTCAGTTCCTTCCTCTGTTTTTTTCACTAATGTTTTTGGTAAAATGCTACTACATAAATTTGAACACCTTTATAAAGTTATTAATCATATCACATTAGAAAAAAGATTAATACCTTAGTAGTGGCACTGGCAAGAGTTTCTTTCCATATGACATATGTAGCTCATGAGAAAAATGCCCTCTGCAATTTTCTGAAATATCTTTGCTGAATAAGGTCAGTGATGGAACTTAGTAAAGAATGAACTTCAGCACTTGTGACAGCTACACGAACAAGAAATTGTTTTCTAGTAAAGGATATGGAAACCATAATAATTACTGACAGAAGATGTTAAAACCAAGATGCCAAAATTTTTATGCGTTTGCCAATTATCTTCCCTCAATAGTTCTTCCTAGATTAAACATCCTTCCTTAACTCATTTGTTAATATAATGAGGCACACGTGACAATTGATCGTTTTCATATTTATTTGTGGACACACCTTTACTATGTCTTTGGATTTCTGGAAATAGCCACCTACACAAGTGGTGGATTGTAACCTTGGGTTTATGTTTTCATACAATATTTCATTAACGATTCAAAGGATTTCTATCTTTTCTGTAGTTTTTGTTGTAACGAGGGATAACTATGAAGGTAGTAGAACTAGGGCTGAAGAAGTGAGCATGTTGCGAATGCTAATGGTTTCCTTTCTTTTTGGCTGCTGCATAGCCTGAAATTCTAGATCTTTTTTTTCCTTTTTCCTCTCTTAATTTATGATATTATGAATTATGAATTTCCATATTTTCCAGTTTGAGAGAAAGAAAAACTAATTATTATTGTAGGTGTACCACTCCAGTTTTGTTGACGATGAAGAAATTACTAAAGCATGTGGTTGTCCTCTACTTCCCTTGAAAAGCCACATAAAAGGACCAGCTCCAGTTTCAGAACAAGGTCAGAATCACTCTGGACATGTCAATCTATATTTAGGAAAAGGGGAGTGATTTACGAAAATAGAAATATATTTTGCTGCAAACTCAATATTAAAGGAAAATTCTAAGGTGGCGTTGCTATTTTAACGGCACAATTCCCTTCATTTTCCACCAATAAAATTACGTCACATCACATGATAAGTATGCACATTATGTATATTATAATTACCGATTAAAAGTTGATTGTGTTATACTGTTGTGTCATCTTATTTATTTATTTATTTATATTTTTACATTTATACTACACGTATAAACACTAAAAGTTGTGTATCTTAATTAGTAAAAAATAACTAAAGTACATTGAAATAAATTAACAAAATTTATAGCATCTAATTTGATGAAAGTTGTATTTCACGATGTATATAAAATATTTTTGTATATTAGCATAGAACAATTTAATTTAAGATAGACATATATTTCTTGTTGTTCTTTACTTAAGTTGCTTTTTGTATAAATTGGTAAATTGTATAACTGTGACCCATATTTTTAACTATAAATATTATTTAGTATAAATTGGTAAATTGTATTAGTGGTCACCCATATCTTTAATTATAAATAATATTATCAATTTCTAGAGTCCGCATTATCTACGCTAATCTAGGTGGAGTTAAAATGCAACTTTTGTCTATCTAATGGCTAACAAGTACCGTACAAATCTAACGATTAATATTAAAAGAACGGTATCATACTGTAACGGAAATGTTGCCATCCCCAATATTAAATATAGAAAGTTATATATTTGATTTGATATCTCTGGTTAAGTTTCTTTTCATTTGTTTGATACTCGTACTTGTGCAATTGATTGATTGAATATTTGCTAAGTTCATATATTTTTAGATTTATATCCTTATGTTGTATCATATTATGAGGAGATAATCAAATTAAATATATTTGCAATTGATTGATTAAATATTTGCTAAGTTGATATATTGTTAAAATTCTTTCCCTATGTTGTATCATATTATAAATATGAGAATACAATCAAATTAAATATATCAACATATGTTGGAAAATTATAATAATTTGATTAGAACTGGTATGAATTTATAATACAATACTTATCAGTTCAACATAAGCATTTTATATTTTATTATTTTAGTATTTTGTTAAAACATTATTTGTTTACATTTTTTTTATGATTTTTTACTTATATTTAATTTCATTATTCTTAATTTTTTTGTCTATATATTGAAATTATAACATATAACCCTTGCATCACACGGCATGCTAGTTTAAAATAAGCTGAAAAGTTATTTTATACGGGCATGCATGAGTTTCAATAAAACTGACATGTTATTCTCAATATCAATGTGTATGAATGCAGAAAGCACGGACATTGTGGATGAAGCAATCACATTCTTTCGAGCCAACGTGTTCTTTAGAAACTTTGACATCAAGAGTTCAGCTGACAAACTTCTTATCTACTTAACATTTTATATAAATATTGCTTTAAAGAGGCTTGAAGGCTGCAGAACCTTAGCTGAAGGAACCAAAGCAATTATTAATCTAGGGCTAGAAAAGGTGCCCGTACCTGGAGAGCATGGATTCCCTTTTCCGGGACTGTTCGTCAATCCGCAATCTCAACACGAAGCAGGTAAATTGCTGTAGTACCATACAACAACAACAACAACAACAACAACATAGCCTTTTAGTCCCAAGCAAGTTGGGGTAGACTAGAGATGAAACCCAAGAGAACCAATGGTAAGAGAAACACAAAAAGGGGCTTAAAACAAAACAAACAAAACAAAATAAAACAAAACAAAACAAAACAAAAGGAAGAGATTGGAGCAAAAGTCACGGTTCTGGCACGTTGATTGCTAGCCTCCAAGCGCTCCTATCCACCGCTAAATCCTTGGAGATATTCCAATCTTTAAGGTCTCTCTTAACCGACTCTTCCCAAGTGAGTTTAGGCCGACCTCTAACTCTCTTTACATCGGCCCGCTGAAGAACTCCCCTATGCACCGGTGCATCAGGAGGCAAATGTTGTAGTACCATGCATCAGCAAATTAGCAAATGCCAAGACACATATTTGTATATATGTGCCGAAAGTAAACAATAAAATGGTAAAAAAAAGGGGGATTATTATGCTTGATGTAAGATGAAGCCTGCTGTTTTTTGTTCCTATTTCAACTTATGNTTTCCTATTTCAACTTTCTGGAAACCTGAATATGTGATCGTTTGTTCAGGATTGTCTAGTGATGTATATTTTTATTTTTTTTCTTATGGGATCTTTTTCTCATGAAACATAGAATGATTATTAATATCATTAACTTTTTTACCATACATGTTTAGGATTATTATGTGTGATTAATTTTACGGTGGAAATTATTATACAGTTAATTTACTAAGGTTTCTTGGTTATGCAGAGCTCTTTAGAAATTACTTGAAACAGATTCGTGAGGAAACCAGTGGAAGATTATTGAGCGTGGCATATCGATCTAATGGAACTCCAAACAAATGGTGGCTTGCATTTGCAAAGAGGAAATTTATGAACATAATTATACCTTGAGGTATTTGTTTCTTCAAACACATTATACAACAGCTATTGCTACCTTTGACTTGACTGACAATGAGCATTTTTTTTTTTTTTTTAATAAAACCACTAGTATTCTTTGTTTAATGCCCCTGGTGCTTATATTTTCCCTAGCTGATTAAAGTTAGAGCTTGATTGAGATGTAATTACAAGTGCTAATGGTTATGTTGCACCTCTATAAATGACATGGGAGCTATAGTCAATGTATGCGTTTGTTGTTCATTGAACATTATTAACAACTTTTTCAAGCATTTTATTTGTTAAAATTTCATTCAGATAGACATTATATTTTGCTCCGGGTATCATATTGTTTGTGATTTTTGAAACAATTTAGGTGTATCTCAACTTCTTAAATCTAATTCTGGCAAGTGCCATCCTGTCTATTTTGTACCTTAAAGCTTCTCTCCAGACAAAGCATCGTTAATTTCTTGTTAGGTTGCTATTTTGATTTGTATGGTGGATTTGAAGAGGCAAACTCTAGTGAAAAAAGGAATTTTATGGGGTTTGGATGGATTTATCTGGTTTTTCTCCAAATTTGTTCAAGGAAAATTGCCATATAATTCAGTATTCAACTAAAAATATTTTATGCTAACCATATACTGAATGGTCTGGTGTAAGAAAATTCTCGCTTTTTTTCTCTTTTAATAATAATGTTATGTTTGGTGCTATGAAGGTGAATGCGGGATAATTCAACTTGTTTCCAATTTGTGCCTGGGCTTGAATTTGATACAGTTTGAGGTTATGTCTAATTACTAATACAGTAAAACCTCGTTAAATTAATACTCAATAAATTAATAACCTCGCTAAAATTAATAATTTGTCCGGTCCCAAGTTGGGACCAGTAAAATAATTTATTTTGAGACCCTAGTGTATATATATTAGTCCTGACGAAATTATAAATTAATAATTATTAAAAATAATTCACACACACACACATATATATATATATATGTATATATCTGTATATGATGCACTTGAAGATGAACCATATTTTTGTATTTTCCAAAACCAATGAATCATATTTTCGTATTTTCCAAACCCAATTAATTTAAACAAGTCATTCCAACTTTCACGTGAGTTTGAGTTCATGGAATTCTACTAGTACATTTGTATTTTAATTTAATTTTCATGCATGTATACTTAACGTTATTCAAAGAATTTTGATTGTGCTTATACGTTAAAACTTCTTTAAATTAATAAATTATTAATTTATTGATATAATAATATTTGTATAAATTAATAAAATCTTCCGCTCCCAACATTATTAATATATAGAGGTTTTACCGTATCCATTTATACTTGTTTCATTTTTCAAAATAGTGTTTTGAAAATATATTAAAGGACATGTTTTTGTCCATTTGACAATAATGGTGATGACGGAACAAATGAACCTCTTGAGCCAGTTGTCCATTTATGTTGCAAGTGTTTCTTCACCATGGTTCTAAAGAAACAAAATATACATTTTCGGGGAGGCTAATTATATTTCTCTTGATGGTGGAATTTTCAGTTGCTAACATTTTTCGCTGTCACCAATGCGGATAAATAAAATATGTATGCATCGAGCAATAATTATTAGTTTGATTGATTACAGTTCATTTTTTATATGCAATTTGGGACCAAAATATTATATTGCTTTCCTCTGAATTTTTAATAAATGCAGAAAAAGATGTCATATATAAAAACTATCTTTTACCGTGAAATGTTTTCTAATTTTAATAAGCTTATGTCCAGCAAATTATAACGTTTAATCGGTGATGCATTAGAGAATGAAAGGTGAAATCCGTGGTAAAATTAATGTTATGAAATGTAATTTAATACAACATTTTAATGTTGGTAACGATTTGTAAGTGGTTGTTGAATGTTTGATAGGAAGACCTTGTGATTTTTTATAACTATTTTTTGTCAAAAAATATGACGAGTTGATCTATCTTATGATTATTTATCATATAAATAAGTATTATAGATATATGTTAAAAAGTATGACAGATGGATATATCTATTATCACATACAAGAGCTCGTGATTCAAAAATTCATTAGTGTATTGTATTTGATTAAATTTTATAAAAATAAACTATAGTAATGATTGATTCCTAAAATCATATGCTAAAACTGAAGAGAGGTAAAGTGAGATGGTGAAAAGTGTGTTTCTTTTACAGGATGGGTGAAAAATGCTACCATATATTATATATGTTTAATCCAATATTGCATTTAAAGCAAAATTTCCCGAGTAATCTGGGTTGATTGTCGACACAGAGCTACTCGAAGGCCAAAGCCAACTTATCTCTCGCCGTACAGCCAAAATGATAAAGCCCAAAATCTCCAGCAGTTGCATTATTTCAAGCGTAAGTATAATCATAGCTGCTGAGTTCATTGCAAAAATCTATCCGTTGAGAAATAACATAATCACTAATTTCTCAAAACTGTTTTAAAGTGCGTACATTAGCAAAGACATAATGCAGTTGTGAAAGGGAAATACAAAACATGTAACATGATGAGAGAATAAAGTCATAAACTACACTATGATTAGAAGGATTGCTGGTATCATCATCTTTTAGGGTGACTTCATTTGCCATCAGTAACGGGAAGATACACGCCCTCAGCTGCCAACCAGACATTATCAGCTCGTTTTTCGCGTACACCACAAACCTGCAATGGAAAAGCAAAGAGTGTTGCTGAAAATTGTTGCGAGCTTTGTACTAATAAATCACATCCCTTAGGTACTTTTCGCCTTTTTAGTTACTCGGTCTATTATTACCTCTTGCTGGCCACCGGCAATACGAGTGTACTTCTTGTCATGACTGTGTAGGTACCCGCCAGTGTCCACATGGCGAAGACGGATCCTTTGATCTTGCCTCCAAGTCTTTCCACTTCCTTCAATTTCGAGTCTGAAAAGTACAAGAGAAGATTATTATGAATCACGAACAAGTAAAAGATTACGTCATAGTCAAGAAGGCTCGTAAAAGATCTCACCTCCAGTAATCCCCAGTGTCAGAGTCCACATCACTCCCAAAGCAACTAACCTGCAATTATTTTATTTTATTTTATTTTTTTTAATTTTTGTCTTTCATGAGTGTAACATATCATAACAATAACCAAACAGAATGCAAAACAAGCCCAAGTAGTGCAATTTGGCAACAATTTTCCGAACTTGAATGAGAGTAAGATTATCATACATAATGATGACACAGATATTCATAGAATCTTTCTAGTGTTGCAACATACGGTTCATAATTTGCAGTAGAGCAGGAGAGACTTTTACACTCCCTTTATCTACTCGGTCATTATTAATAACACAAAAAGTTCAAATTTTCATGTTATGTATCTGCTGAGGGAGGAATTGTGTATTCCCATGCACAAGGTGTACTACTAGTTAAAATATGTTATTATAGCATAAGAAATAAGATGTACACACAAGAAGTAACACGGCATGGAAAATAACACAGTCCTTCGAACGAACTTTCTGTATGGTAACTCGTTTAGTGTGTTGATTACTTGATTATGTTCATAATTATCACAACTTCCAAAGGTACAAAAATGTCCTTCACCAAGAGATACTCCTGCTTTGATTAAATATAGCCATATTTCTTAAAGCAAATCAGACTGCAGCCTACATGTGGCGTAGAATTCCATCTCTGTAGAGAGTTTTATAGTCTTACTCCTAGAAATAGTAGTAGTATCACTTATTCCGCAGTTATTATTCCTTGTGAACAAACTTTTGTAGACTTTGCAATATGGCTAAATCCGTACTCAACCAGATAAAAATAAACCAGGTTTATTGCTAAAATGAACATGGTTAATTTAAAATTAGAGACTGTCTTGACGAGTTCAAGAAAATCACAGTGACAAAACGGAGAAACAATAATTGAAGGTTTATTGTATACACTAGTGCACACTAGTTGATAATACTTCTTGGATTAGGCATACTAAGAACCATTGTAGAGTGAACACAGCTGTCCCAGAATTTATCAGACTGTTAAAAACAGAAGAATATGATTTCATAAAATGATTTAAGAGGATAAAGGAGGACAAGGCTTAAGTCATAAATAGTTGAAATAACATCAAATCACATTATTTTATACAAGGAAACATATTCGAATAGCAGAAGAATATTACAATCACAACAAAAGATTCAGAATCCAGAAAAATAAAAACACTAAAATGAACCAATATTTGCACCTTTAAAACTGTAAGTGTGCACAGAGTACAAGTGTTTAATGACCATATTATACTAAATGAATCACTTTTAGCTCTATAACCGTAAGTACAGACAAGGTCCACACCTAAATGATGCTTTCAAGCAATAGAAAATATCTGCCAAAACTTAATATATGCCCACTAACCTCCAAATTGCCAGATATAGGAGATGCATGCAGGTGGCTGTGCAGCCATTTCCTAGTCCTCATATGTTGCAGCCGAACAAGCTCTCCAGTTTTGATTGCATCCCCTTGCTTTGCAGATGAATCTGGTGTAGACCTCACAACCTGCCAAAATATTTACATTTCCAATAATGAGTTACTACAAACTCTGAGAGATACTTTAAAAAAAAAAGACCAAGGGATGTATCATTAGCTTACCCAGTAGCTATTAGAATCATCAACATTAGGAAAACCAGTCACAGACTGCTGGCCACTACCAGAGCCATAAGGTACATCATGCGAGTGGAGACGGACTTTTGTTTTCTCGTGCATCAGCTTGATAACAGAACCATATGTTATCTGCAAAAGGTTTGAGAGAACAATTATAGCTTGATGGCAAGACAACTAGAGGCAGAACAAACAACACAATGTCTTCCACATCAGCTTAGCTCATCCCTAGTTGAAATTATAGATGCAAAATGCTGCCCAACAGATTTAGATAGTTTAAAAATGACCATTCTAAATATTTCTTAGATACTAACCACTCGTAAAACTCCATCGATTTTTTCTAGATCACATTGTTTCCTTCTTCCCATGTATTCTATCACCTAGACAGTAAATATATAGGAATGCCGTCTGGGATCTCAACTGAGAACACCATAACTAAAGGTTTTTTAATTTAAAAAAAAAAAAACCTCACCCATCAAAACTTCAGCACAACACTTCAAAACAAGCTCATCATTCTTCCCACATTAAATCACCATTCACTATGTCCACAGTTAATCTAAAGGAATTTTAATCTAAACACAAGATTTCCCACGAAGTAAATAAGTTCCATCGCAAATTGCCCCAAAAGTTTGAATTTTAATAATTCAAAAGGAAACTTGCATATTAATCCCATCAACTTAAGGCAAAAACTACCCACCAAAACCAACCTACAGATACATAATCATCTATCCAAAACCGACTCAAGACAATCAATTAACAGCGATAACTTGCCTGAACTCCTTCGGACGCCGCAGAAACTGGAGTCGACGCATAATCGGAGTCCAGCGTGAGGAGCAGAAAAATTGCGAGGCCGAAAAACGAGACAGCCATCACCAGCAACAGGATTATGAACCAAGTGCTCTGCCAAAAGGGCAGTTTAAGATCCGAATCGGATGAGCGGCCGACGGACTCTCTGTACACAAATCGGGTCGGACCCGATGCGGCGGACAAGGCGGATGCCGGGGCGGATTTCCTACGAGTGAGGTTGGTCTGTTGATGCGAGGGAGCCACGGTTGGAACTTGTACGCCGGTGCCGGAGCTCCGATGATATCCGATCAATTGCCGATTTTGAGAATTTATCGATTAAGCTGCCAGAAAATATGGTCTCATTACCATTTGCTTGCGTCGTCAATGGGTCATGTTCGAATTGATGTTTTGCGGTTCCACGTGTTTTGAACTAACACTGCGAATTACATTATGACACGTGGATACATGTTGACGTGGGATATTTAGATTGGTGTATATGTATCACTTTGATTTAGTTTCTTATACTTAATATAATTCTCATTATTAATAGAGTTTGAAATATAATCTATACTCTGCATAGGACACATAAAATACCGTACCCTTTCGAAAATAGAATTAAAATATATCTGTTGACCGTTTATTTTTTTTTTTTAATTGATCCTAACAAAAAATAGAAAATCATTCCGTCGGGATTTGTAACTGTCGTAGATAGTTGATCTAACGGTTACTAATCCCGACGGAATAGTTCTGTAATTGGACTGTAGAATTTCCCCAAAAAATAACTGGTACAATTCTAAAAATTTTGTAAATTCGTAGTGAGTATCAATCGATTAACTAAGGTGATTCTATAGTCAAATTTACAAGAACATTTCAAGTACGGTGTTAAGTTTGGATACCTCATTGGTAGGTCGAGCAATTAAAGTTACCCTTACTCAAAATATTACCGTGTCGGAATAATTAGGGGTGGGAAAAAAAACATATTTTCTCAGGGGTTTTGAATGTTTCCCTTAAGTCGTCTGGGTGTGAAGTCGAGGACTTGCTTTTCACCAGGACAACGTATACTTCCATATTTCGACCAATCTGGGGTTTGAACATGTGATCCATCAATCGTTGGTAAGTTGCTCCTGCATTTTTTAGGCTAAAGGGCATGACGACATAGCAATATGTCCCCTTGCTCGTCACGAAACTCACTTTACTTTGATCCTCCAGGGCCAAGGGGATTTGGTGGTATCCTTGAGATGCGTCCATCATGCTCAGCAATTCGCAGCCAGCTGTGGAGTCGACTAGCTGATCAATTCTAGGCAAAGGATAGTGATCTTTTGGGCACACCAGGTTTAAGTCACGAAAGTCGATGCACATACGCCATTTGTTCAGTGCTTTCCTCACCATCACTGTGTTAGATATCCATTCGGGGAATTGGATTTCCTTGATGTGTTTAGCTTTTAGCAGCTTGTCTGCCTCGACTTCAATTGCTTTGTCGATTTCAGCGCCATGGTGCCTGAGTCGCTGCTTCACAGGTTTTCTGAGGGGGTCGACATTGAGCTTGTGCTCCATAACATCCGAGTCGATTCCCATTAACTCCTCAGGAGAAAAAACGAATATGTCCCTGAATTCCTTCAACAATCCCACTAACTGCTCTCGCAACTCGTCCTCCAATTCTCTCCCGACTTTGGTGGTTTGGTCCTCCGTTTCACCGATTTGAATTTCCATCAACTCTCCATGGGGCTCGAGGTCACTCCCCCTCGACCTCTTTTCACTCGACATTGGTTTTTTGCCCCTCCTTGACCTCAGCTCGTTGGTTAGTTTTGACCGCGATTTGGTAACATGTTCTTGATAACTTCTGGTCCCCTCGAGCCTCTCCCACTCGATCTCCAACGGGAAACTTCAATTTCATGTGATAAGTCGACACCACTGCTTGGAAGGCAATGAGCGCCGGCCTCTCAAGGATCACGTTAAACGCCGACTCGACGTCGACCACCACAAATCTTACCATTTTGACCTTTCTCAAGTCGCCCTCCCACAGGACGACAGTGAGCGTGGTTTCTCCTAGAAGAGCGACTTCCGATCCATTGAACCCAAAGAGTGATGTATGTACAGGCGTAAGTTCAATGTCAAGTTCCATCCTTCTGAGGCATTCATAGAAAATCACGTTTACAGAACTTCCTGTATCGACAAACACCCTTTGCACCTCGTACCCCGATATCTGTGCGGTTATCATCAGGGCATCATTGTATGGTCTCTCGACTTCCCCTACGTCCGTAGGTCCAAAGTTCATCACTGGCCCACTCTCGTCGACCTGCTGCACCTCGACTTTTGCATATCGGCCTCAAGCATACGCCTTTCTTGCTCGATTGGAATCTCCATCTGTTGACCCTCCAAAAATCATGTTAATTACTCCCCTTTTCGGTGGGAGCTCTTCCTTCTCCGGTGACCTTGTCCTCTTGCGAGGGCTCTTACTCCTTTCTCGCCTCCTGCTCGTCCTCTCGCGATCTTTGTATATGAATTCTTTCAAGTGGCCCGCTTTTATCAACCTCTCGATCTCGTCTTTAAGGTGTCGGCAATCGTCAGTGTTGTATCCGTAATCTTTGTGGAATAGACAATATAAGTTGCTTTTGGGATTCACTGGTCCATCCCTTCTTGTCCGCGGCCATCTCACCACATCGTCACGGATCCCCCTTTCCATCACTTCTAGAATTCTCGCGTGGGGGGCCGACAAGGGTGTGTATTGAATTGGCCTCCATCCTCTAGATCGTCCTTCACCCCTGTCAGCTCGCGGTGATCATCTTCTTTCTCCTGTCGGCTGACTCTCCTTCTCCTTCTTGTTGTCTCGACCATCAGTCTGGGACATTTTCACGCTTTGCAAGTAGTCGGCTTCTGCTTCCTCGACATTTATATACTTGGCACACCTTCCCAACACGTCATCGATACTCCTACCAGGTCGCTTGGCTAAAGAGTTTTTACATAGCCCTGGTAGTACTCCCCTCGTCAGTCCTCCTGATTTGATTTCCTCTGTTCGGGCACTCGACACACGCCTTTGTAAACCTTGCCACATACTTTCGCAACGACTCACCCTTCTTCTGCTGCATGCTAATCAACGAGAGGTAGGACTTTTCTTGCACCCTTACACTTGCAAATTGATTAAGAAAACTCGAGTTGAATCCATCAAAGTCCTTAATCGACCCAGCTGGTAGTTGGTGAAACCAGTCCTGGGCCGACCCTGTCAGAGTCGTCAAGAAAGCGCGACATTGCACCGGGTCACTGTAGCGGTGGAGCACCGCCATGTTCTCAAAACTCCTCAGATGTCGAGACAGGTCAGTGGAGCCATCGTACCATATGTTCAACTCTCTGAAGCCTTTGGGTAAGTCGGCTCTCAGGATTTGCTGTGAGAATGGACCTGCAAGTCGCGGACCTGGGCCAACAACTGTTCCAGCGTCTCGTCCCTTGCTTACGGATTGATAGTTCGAATGGAGGATTCCTCCTCGTCCACCCTTCTGTTCTGCTGTACGTTTGACTGAGCTTGTTGTTCGACACGAGGTTGTTGCTCGACCCGAGGCTGGTACTCAACAAGAGGCTGCTGCTCGACCTGCGCCACCTGCTTCATCTAGGCGGCCACAGCTTCAGCGATCATCTTTTGCATTTCGCTCCTCGTCACTGTCAAGGTCTGCTCCTCAACGCGGGGTTGTGTCTGCTCCGGTACTTCCTGTATCTGCTTTCCCTCGCGTCGAGACATCTCTTTTGGTTCCTTCTAACCATCTGGGTTAGGGTTTTGACTTGTTCCTACCTGGGTCAACACTTGCATCTTCACTCCGGTTGGAGTGACAGGAGTTTATCTGCCCAACGTCAGCCCCGGTGGTGGAGGTCCTCTAAATGGTGGCATTCCTAGCATCTGCATCACTGGGTGTCTAGGGGTAGACAGTGGTGGTGGCCTCTTGTCCGTCCACGTTCCCCTAAACTCCTCATTCAGATTCCTCTGCAAACCCTCCTTCTCCGCCATCAGCAAACAGATCGGAGCTAGGTGTGAAGCTCTTACTTCCTTCAAGAACTCCCCACAGACGGCGCTAATATGATGGGTCTACTTCTAGATCTGAAGAGAACTGGTGGATTTGAGCTCAGATCCGCTTGAACCGTCTCTGAATCATTGCTAGACCGCGAGAATACCTGCAAAAACTCAACGCCGGAGGTGTTTCCAGCGTAGAGCCTCCGACGCTCAAGTCAGTATGAGAGTGATGAAGGGATGCTGCGCAACAGCTATGAGGGGAATGTGGAATCAATGAGAGTTAGGGTTTGGGGTTACCTTACCTCCTTTATATAGGAGTGAACATTTACTTGAAGTACCTGAAATGCCCCGGTCGGCTGACCTGTAAGGTCTAAATTGCCCCGGTCGATTCGTCTCCTCTTGCTGCTGAGTCATCACAAGATTTCTTCTTATCCTATAGAGAATGTATAGTCTTGAGTATGTTACAATTGTATCGAGTCGTTAGTGTATCTCACGTCTCGAGGTATAAAGAGTCGACATAGAGCATGGACGAGTTGACTTCCTGATCTTTTGGTTATTCGGAGGCTTTGCCTTTGCTGGTCTTCTCAAATGGACGTCGACTTCCTCGTAGTCGACTATCATCAAGTCGACTTCTCCGAGTCGACTTGCCTGATACCTGCATCATCCTCATCATTCATCTTATGAAGAGTCGACTTTGGAAGAGTCGACTTGAGCATGTCGACATATAAGTGGTTCGGATGATTCTCCGATCGAGTAGGGAGCCTCTAGACCGGAACCTCTCTATATGGCTATATCAGAGGTTAACTTGAGTATTTATTTATTTATTTATTTATTTTTTTTTCTCACAATCATCATTTGTAGCTTGACAGATAATAAACATTAAACAGTAAAGAAAAAACAGTGCAAAAAGGGTGGATAACTCATAACAGTCCCAACGAGAAGGCAGCAATGGGACTTCAATCCTTTACTGTCAAGCTCTCTCCATTTTCCATCCTCAAACCCCTCTGTAAAACACCCAAACTTCAACGAACCCTATTTCACCCGTCATGCCACAGTTTCCATAACCACCACTACAGCGGCCGGCTGCCGTTTCTCCGTCGAGCGCTTTCTTCAACCGCCGCCGCCACTCTTCATCCCACTACTACTACCGCCGGCTCCGTCACCGATATCACCGATGAAACAAAAGGTATGAATTTCTTCTCTAACCAGTTGGTTCGTTTTGTTGATGATTTCGATGGGTTCGTGTTTGGGTCGTTGTGCTGAGCTGTGGCAATCTGTGTAGCTGTGAAGGCGCCTCAATGGAAAGCGGCCATAGATTTCAAGTGGATTAGGGATAACAAGGACGCAGTTGCCGCCAACATCAGGAACCGCAACTCCAATGCTAATCTTGACCTTGTTCTTCAGCTTTATGATAAAGTACTGAATCTTCAGAAGGTCAGGTTTCCACCTTTTACATTCTCAATGAGTTGCATTTGCAGTGTTTAAAGTTCTCTCATTATACGTGTAATCAATTATATGAGGAGGTGGTAATCAATGATGATCATTAGCCGGGTAAGATGAAATTCACCAAAGATCACACATTTTGGTTGGGTCAAGCCTGACACCTCAATGTGACATTTTGTTTCTTTAGCTAATTGTTTATCTCAGATAATAGGAAGTTGAAAAGCTACGTGCGGAGAGAAATGCCGTTGCGAACAAGATGAAGGGTAAACTTGAACCAGCTGAGCGGCAGAAACTCATTGAAGAAGGTTATCTACTATACTTTTCTGCATAACATCATAATCTAGTTTCAATTTCTAGATTATTCATTCTAAGTATGTTATTTCAGGTAAGATTCTCAAGGATAAGCTTGTTACCCTTGAAGAGGACTTACTCAAACTGACAGATAAACTCCAGCAGGAAGCACAATCTGTGCCAAATATGACTCATCCAGATGCTCCTGTTGGTGGGGAAAATTGTTCTGCTGTGAGAAAACAGGTAACTCCTCTCTTGCACTGATATCTTAGCAAACATAAAGGTACTCTTGGCATCTCTTTATTTTTTAATATTGATTGATATATTTTGCTTAACTTTCTCTCTCTCTCTCTTTGTTTTCACTTTTTTCCATGCTTGGTAGTTTGGTAAACCCAGAGAGTTTAGCTTCTCGATAAAGGATCACGTCCAGCTTGGAAAGGACCTGGATCTGTTCGATTTTGATGCTGCTGCAGAGGTATTTGTTCTGTCCACTCCACCAGAGTATAGTATTTCTAGGAGTTGTAAATTATCTTCCCCCAAAGGCCAGATTGAATATATCAAATTAAGATAACTTAACTGGGAAATTAACTATTTACTAACACGTTGATAATTTTATGTTCGTGTAATTAATTTTCCTTACTTGTATTCATGCATATGGCTTGCATCTTATTACAGGTTAGCGGGTCCAAATTTTATTACTTGAAAAATGAAGCAGTTATGTTAGAGCTGGCCCTTGTAAACTGGGCTGTTTCGGAGGTAATGAAAAGGGGTTTTGTACCACTTACCACGCCAGAAATAGTGCGATCATCTGTGGTGGAAAAATGTGGTTTTCAACCACGCGGAACTAACACTCAGGTTTGTTATCTTGCTATCTTGTTAATCCTCAACAGTTACTCTGCTTCTTTCATGGTCCTTAATTTTACATCTATACTTTATAAACCTTTTTCTGGAATATGATTTGCTATAAAAACTGTTTTATCACAATCCACAGATGAGCAAGTTTATTTTCTTCCTCTGGATATACTGATCCCGAGCAGCTTAATTTTGTATGTAACATATTATTCAGGAAGGAAGGGGACCAGTTACCATAACTGTCCTAACAACTCATGAGCAACTCATTATTTTTTTATCTCGAGTTGTATTGTATGTTAATCGAACTATATTTGTCAATGTGATTACAAACTAGTCTACATAACTTACATGATTACATTTCAAAATTAAAACCAGTTTTTGTTCATATATGCTACTAAATTTCGCTGCATGCGTCTGTTGATGATTCTGGATTGTCACTCAAAAAGTCCTTAACGGACAAAAAATATCTGATGATCTTGACATTTCTTAGTTCTCTTCTACCATTTCAGTTGAATTACGCAAATTATGTATTATTTCCGACTCTTCCAATCTGAAAGCTACATGAAGCCCATCCGTGATAAGTGAAGAACACTGGAATTAACCAAGTGGATTTTTGGTTGCTAATAGATGCTGTAAAATCTGGCAGGTATATTCCATTGATAGCAGCGATCAATGCCTCATTGGTACAGCTGAGATTCCAGTAGGTGGAATCCATATGGACTCCATTCTTGATGAGTCATCACTGCCTCTAAAGTATGTAGCTCTTTCCCATTGCTTTAGAACAGAAGCTGGTGCGGCTGGCGCTGCAACAAGGTAAATGATTCGACTTTTTGAAAGGTCAATATAGCTTTTACTGAACGATAATGTTGTTTGTGTTTGGCTTCTCTCTTATAATCCTTGTCAACTGTCTTTCTATTCAGGATTAATCTTTCTCTACGTTTTAGCTTTCCCTATACCTTTACTATTGTCTTTTTCTTGGATGTACTGATTGATTGGTTGTAAACTGGGAGCTGCAGGGGGCTTTATCGAGTTCACCAATTCAGCAAGGTGGAGATGTTCATCTTATGTAGACCAGAGGAAAGTGATTCCTTCCATGAAGAACTTATTCAAATTGAAGAAGATCTCTTTTCGTCATTGGGGCTTCATTTTAAGTGTGTACCCAACTTAACCACATATCCCATTTTATACGTTTCAGTTTCTTACTTTTTTCTTTTATCTTCTTTCCTCTATTATTTTTTAACAAGAGCAGAAGTTTGAAAATTTGAAAAGAGAAACCGTTTAAGTTATCTTATGATGCTTATTTTGCAGAACTATGGACATGGCGACAGAGGATTTAGGTGCACCAGCTTATCGTAAATTTGACGTGGAGGCCTGGATGCCCGGTTTGGGAAGATATGGTGAGGTATGGTACTAGTTATCTGTCTATTCTCTGTGACATATTAGTCGCTTATGGGCGTTTTTCTTTATTATTGATCTAAAATTTTGTCTTTTGTGGTGTTGCCTAATCCACATTTGTACTGTCTGACTTGTTTAAATTACGAAACCACGTATGAGANAAGGATCTATATTCTCGAAATTGCAAATGCCGAAATACCTTCATGAACTTTGTTTCCATTTTTAAGTACCCTGTGAAGTTGACTTTTGATAATGAATATCCCGTGAGCAGGCGAGTTCTGTTAAAAAATAAAACCAAAAAAAGAGCAAATATCAACAGAATATTGAACAAATTTTGGGGGTTATTTTGCCACAATGGTGATACATAATATAAATTTATATAGTAATACTTTTTTTCTAGAAAAATACATGAATGCTGCTGATATGCGGAATTATGTTGTTCGTCGACACAGATCTCGAGCGCCTCTAATTGTACAGACTACCAAAGTCGACGGCTAGGTATTCGATACCGACCCGAACCATCGAACTCAAATGTTCCTAAAAAGGGTAAGGGTAGTTCTGCCCCTACTCGGTTCATCCATACACTAAATGCAACAGCGTGTGCAGTTCCGAGAATGATCATTTGCTTGCTTGAAAATTACCAGCAAGAGGATGGTTCTGTTGCTATACCTGATCCATTGAGGCCATTCATGGGTGGCATTGAGATTATTGCCCCTAAATATAAGTAGGTGGTGTTGAATTTTTGGTTATTGCAATCTTTTCCATAACAGTTTAATTTTTTTGTGACATGTTTCTTTGGATTGGAGGTTGTTTTTTAAGATTCAATTTGCTGCTTGGGGTCGTACCTAACACAGATGCTAAACAAGCTGCTTGTGAGCAGCTAGAACTCGGCTTCGTTCGTTTTTAATTGACAAGCGAAGTTCGAGCTGTTTAGTTCAGGCTTGTTAGGGCTCAAAAAATATGATTTTTTTTTTTTTTTTATATATAATTTTCTATAGATCTGCTTGTTAAGGCTCGTTAATATAATAAATGAACTAATTAAAGCTCGTTATTGATAAATGAGTTAAGTTTGAGCTCATTTATCGTCTTGTTTAGTTAAGCTTGATTTTGGCTTGATCAAGGCTTGAACTCGACTATCAGGAGCTTGAGTTTGGTTCTCGTACCCCTATTACTCGGTACCCATCCAGCCTCATGGGATACATTAGGTGCTTGGATGGAGTTCAGTGGAGGAATTCAAAGCCTATAGCTGGCGTTTGGAATTGCTCTTTTACGTATATACCGTAACTCTTCCTAAATAATTGCACATACTAATCATAGTTTTTATTTGTAGTTATACCACAACCCTAAAAAAAATTGTATTTATACATACACCCTAATCCCTAATTCGCGCAGCACATCCACAATTCCCTCATCTTCCTCTTGCATTGCGACCACAATTCTCTCATCTTCCTCCTCTGATGTTACTGCCACTGAGCCACCCCGTCATCTCAGATCTCCTTCTCTTTCCCATGCACGGCCCACCCATTTTTACCCAAAATCTAACGTACACCACCGCCAACGTCTTGGGGCGCTATTCGTTAGGGTTGCGGTGGTGCTGGTTCACGCCGTCGTGTGGAGGACCGACGATTTGGTCGCCGACGAGGAGGGTTTGTAAATTTCGATTGTTCTAGGGACTGTTCTCACCTGTGAGTTCTGAGTTGTAAATTTCGATTGTTTTAGATGCGCAAGGAAGAAGATGAACAATCATATTTGTGATTTGGATCCAGATCGGCCGCCGCCTCTCTCGATATTTATTTTACGTTTATGTTTGGTATATGAACTGAATATTCGTACCCGATTTTGTCTCAAATTGGTCGCCGCCTCTCCTGATGTTTATTTTACGTTTATAATACGTTTATGTTAGGTATATGAACCGAATATTCGTACCCGATTTTGTTCCAGATCGGTCGCCTCCACTCTCGATGTTTATTTTACGTTTATATTTGGTATATGAACCAAATATTCGTACCTATCGGGAGATCTGATGATACAAACACTGTTATAAATTAAAATAAACTAAACATAAAATTAGAAAAAAATAATAATTTGTAAATTTACAATAAAAAGCTCGAATAAGTGCAAATAATTATGCTGAATTTGGTAGGTTTGCAAATAAATATATATTGGATGTATATGTACAATATAAAGAATAANTATAGTGAAATATAAAATAAATATAGTCAATTGTATTTGGTGTTAAATTTATTTTTTATTTTTTTGTCGGAACCACGATCGGATACAAATTTTTAACTTAAAATTCAATTTAAATTTAATTCAACTTAACTCTTCTCAATATTATCAATGTAATTAAAAAAATTTCATAAATTATTACTACACAATGTTTAGTAAAATTCAATATTCGCCCACTCATATGTTTTTAAATATTTTTTATTATTTTATTACTTTTACATTACATCAACTTTACTCATTATATTTAAAATTATATTCATTCACAAATTCAAAATCAAATACAAATTTTCATTCAGTCTATTTCTGTTTTTTTAATCTTCTCACACTATTCATAAATTTTTATACCCACCTCACCTTTTCAATTGGTTGTGAATTTCTTATTCATTATCTCTCTGTATATATAAATGGTGAGTTTCTCATGTGCCATTTTCTTATACTTCGTAACTATATGTGGCAAATTGTGGTGTTTAGTAAGCTTATGTGTAAATTTGTGGTACTTCGTTTCGTAGTAATCCATGCAAATCAACTTTTACCCACACCTAATACTGTACTCATGTATACGTTCTTGTGTGCAGGTTAGGTCATGTTTGGTAAATGGCTTTTTGACAAAAAATAAGTTTTTTTGGCCTTTTAGCTGTTTTGACTTTATCAATAAACTTACAAATATGTTTGGTTAATGGCGGTTCAAGTTAGCTTTATGATGGCCAAACCTCCAAATTGAAAACGCTGGAAGTAGTAGCGTTTGGAGTGGATTGTTTATATAAAACAATTAAAATTACTTAATTAATCTTTCTTTTCTAATATTTGAGCATCCATATTCTCAAGTCACATGGTTTGAGAGCTTTTCTTTTACTAGATTATTATTTATACTTTTTATAAAACTTATTTACTTGATTATGAAATATTTTTATTTTATTATTATTTTTATTTTTATCATATTTAACTCACTTTAATAAATATTTAAAATATTAATTATTTCTATTTCTTAAATAATTATAAGTTCAATATAAATTAGAATGACAAAGTTTGTTAATGACCTTATAAGTAATTTTACATGTTAACCGCTAATTAAAATTATTAATTTTACCAAACACTTTTTTACAAATCGCTAACACGATCAGATAGTCAAAACAGTCAATGCAATCCGCTGGTCAAAACAGTTAATGCAATCCGCTAACAGCTAATAGTTAACCGCTGACTACCAAACAAGACCTATGTCATTTGTCATTGATTATCCATATTTAAAGTTTAAATATGGCCTGTATGCACTATAATTAATAGTTGGTTTAACTATGGAGTTATGAGTTATCCAAATTTATTTATAAATTTTGAATTAACATGTATTCTAAATAAATATATCTAAAACATGTATTAATTTATCAACTTATTAATAGCTATACGTAAGAGAGCAATTCACTATCTTTATGAAAATTCTAGTATAATTAAAAACGATTCGTATAGTAACATACTTTAATAATTACATGTGATTTGATATTGACCTCCGTACTTGATCAAGAAAATGCTTCTTTGTTACTTGTGTATGTTTTCCGTGTTTTGACCATGACAAAAGTGTACTCGTGCCTCCTCATAATAATCAAAATTGACAAAAGGGTAATTGTGCCTCCTGATAATAATCAAAATGCCATCTTAATAATTACTTGTGATCAGAAATCGTTGATGAAATTATCTATTTTTGTCAAACTTTTTTTTGGGGGGCAGACTCTACCTAATATTGTGATAATTATGTGAAGACCAAGCAAATTCAACCTGTGGTAGGTAAAGAAGACGAAATTGCATGGCATCTCGTAGTGAGTACTGTATTACCGTGTAAGAGAGTGGCACTTAATTGATCAAAATTTGTCTCCAAAAAAAGACAACAATTGTGGTTCCAGAAGAAAAGTATTAGTATATTTTAAAGTTCTTTATAGTTCCTTTTAATTTCGTAAACTCCAAGACAAAGTTCAATTTTTGAAAGTGAATCCCTAAAACAACATCAACTTGAATGGACGTTGTTAGAATTTCGTTAAGTGTGTGCAAAGTTGCCATTTCATTTCAAAGAGACAACATTAATGTGAGGATTGGTTGTATGCAGCGGCGTAGCAAGAATTGTTTTTTACTTGGGGGCTGCATATTATTGTAACTATTATTCGAACTGAGTAGACATGGTCATGGGCCGACCCAGCCTATCGGTTCGGGCTGAATCGACATCGGCCCGTGGTTTTGACCAGTTCAGTTCATGTACAATATTTTATAGTTTATATATTTTGAACTGGCAGTTTCGATTCCGAACTGGAACAGGAACCCGAGGTTCAGCTTTAAAAAAAAAATATCATTTTTTAATTATATTTTGACTTTTTTTAATAAATCGGACGACCAAGAACCGACAATTCAATGAACCGGCCCGTGCATATGTCCGCGCCGGTTCAGGGTCCTCCAACTCGCGGCCCGAGATCGGCGATTTCGACTCGTAACCAGTTTTGATGATCATGACTAGAACCAAATTATCTGATAACACATGTCGGTTTGAATTGGAAAAACTCAATCTCGACTCGCTTATATATTTAAACAAGTCAAACCCAGATAGCTAATCAAACTCGTCGATCAAACAAATAGAGTCGAGCATGTTTCCACTCAACTCTATAAGAGTTTTTTCTTTGTCAAGGAATTGAGGCCGAATTAATTATTGGAGGCGAAATATACAAAAAAATAATAAATAAAAATAGATAATGGACTGTGCAATGAGATGAACATAATTAAATAGCCCGCAAGAGAAGTGTGTGTCAAGCTTAATTATCCAGCTCATTTGGTACTTGTCAGGTCAACCCATTAAAAAAATTAAAAGGCAAGAGTGTTGGACACAATTATAAACTCAATTATTTTTTCCTTTTGGACATGGGTTTGGAGCCCACCCAAGCCCTAGGATGGCTCCGCCCGTAGTTGTATGTAGTTTGTATATATATATATATATATTTAAATGCAACTTGAATTACATTAACATTTATGATTTGCAATCTTTCTACATTTGGATCATACAATCATTAGCAAAATGGACACATGTATGGTCAAGATATATATAAGTTAGGAATAATGTCCATGAAATTCAAGTTACGTTTTATCAAGAGAAATACTATAGGTTGTGAAGTAAAAAAATACACGCAGTACGTGTTGCAGCTAATGTTTTAACCATTGTGGAACTATATGAGCAACTCCAACCATAAAATTCATTATCATACTCAAACGTAACTGTAACATCAAACTGTAATTTATCTCCAGCCATTATACTCATTCTTAAACTCAAAAGTATATTATTAAAACATTCATTTCCATATCAATCTTTATATATATGTTTTTTAGTAATCGTCTCCAATCATTATACTCATTCTCAAATTCCAAAATATATTCTTAATTAAGATATTCATTTTCATATCAACCTTTTCACTTTTTTATTTATCTTTTTATATTAAATAAATTAATAAAAAATAAATATGTGACCACAATATTATCATTATCGCGGTTGTATCTGCGGTAATTCAAAATGCCAATGCTCTTTTCTTGCAAATGTGACAAATATAATTTGACTAAAATTTGTAAAATATAGCCAATATCTTTTGTGCGGTGGCAATAGTAGTCACATCTTTACAAAAAATAATAGTAGCCAACAACTTTTACAATTTTAGGGTTATTACCCAAATTCGGCCAAACTCAACAGAACTTTGTCGGAACGCGCACAGTCGGTTGATGTGGATTCCACGTGGAAGTAGGTATGTAGGCCACATGGAGTCCACATCAGTCGAGTGTGCCAGTTCCGACACAATTCCCTCGAGTTTGACCGGATTTGGGTAATAACCATGATGTTTTGAAAATTGTTGGTTATTGTTGTCAGTTCATAAATATGGTGGTTAGTATTGCCAAAGCTTAAAAGATATTGACTGTATTTTGCAATTAAACCATATAAATTTGTCAAACAAAACAGATCAACTTGTGATTGAAAAAGAAAAATGCGCAGATGATTATTTAAACACATTTTTTCGTTTGCATAAGGCATGTGGATTGAACTAAGTTGATTAATGGTGACATTTCAAACTTTATTTTACTTTTCATTCTATCAAATGAATGATAGGTGTATATAGGGATGAAATCGGTCGAAAACGGTCGAAAAGCTCCTCTATTGTTTTCTACTTTTATATTTGAATACGAACGCGGAAGCGGAAACGGTATAGCCGGAAACGAAAACGAAAACGAACTTATGGTATTTCGAAAACGAATCAATTCGAGCGGAATTATGTCGAACACGGCCGGTGTACGAAAATTCAATACGAAATACCGACCCACGGTGCACAACTTTAAACATGTGAATGACCAAACTAACAAGTGCATGATTTAGTTCAAGTGCACATAATAGTTAAAAGGTGCATGACCTTAAGT